CTACTAAAAAATCGATCAAGAAGATGAAGCTTCGCGTTGAAACGCCATGGTATCCTTGGTTCCACGGGGATTATGAGGTGTGTGTACCAGTTAGTTATATAGATCGTCAGTATAAAGAATTTTTTACTGAAACTTGTAATATTGAATATATAATTGACAAACTTGGAGAGTAGTTGATTCAACAACTTATAATTTGCATTGACAAAAGCAATCTTTATTATTCCTGATCAATACTAATTTTTTTTAAATTTTAAGAATCAAATAAATTATTTTTTTTGAATCGTAATTTTTTCATATATCGTTTGAATAGGTTGGTGGATACGCAAAAGTATATAGAGAAAACTTGACATTTGCAACAGTGAGAGGAGCAGGACATCAAGTGCCAAGTTATGAGCCTGCTAGAGCTTTTACATTGGCTAAGCACTTCCTTGCAGGAACACAACTCCCTAATTCTACAACACATAAAATAATAAACCTTACTCAAAACACTCCGATGCAAAGAAAATAAGTTACATATTTGGTGGACATTATTTTAATTGACGATATTATAATAATTTAATATTCAAATTATATAGTTCATACTAAGATAGTGTCTTTAGAAATAAAGATATATAATCGTTTCATTTATTGTCGGATACTATAAATATGTGGTTACTATGTCTTATTAATTCATTCATATTACTAATTTATTAAAACATTTTTTGAATTATACTCACTTAGAGTGAATATCAAAATTAAATAGTAGAATTATGTTCCACTATAATATCATGCATATTATACTGATCCTTATTTTACTTTCAGTGATTGCCAATTTGTTGTTTTGATGTAAGTATTATTACCGGATTAGAATATTTTGATTCACACAACATTATTAAAACTGATTATTAATATTTGATTCATAAATAAAATAATAATTATTTTTATAGAAACATTTCATAAAGTATATTTTAAAAAAACTATTCATAGAAAAAAAAACAAATATCAAAAGGAAAAAACTGTCAAATCTTTAAAAAATTTCATTTTCCATCCAGACAATAATTCTTTTCTAGATGTACAAAATATTGTTTAAGAATATATTTTTAAAATTGAGATTATGATAAAGCAGAACATTGTGAGAAAACACAATTGATAGTCATCTATATCTACTTCATTTTTTTTTTGTTAGTAAATAGAATATATATTTGATATTTTTATTGATTTTCTTCGTTGATTAATAATGTGTTGCGGTTACCATACTCCTAAAATAATTTGACATCTATTGTATTATTTTGATTAATTAATATTTATTTGTCTTTTAGAAATTCATCCTAAACTTTCTATATGGTAGAAAGATTGTCATCTTAATTGATGAATATAACTTTTACTCAAAGGCAATAATGAATTCAAATAGGAAAAATTGTATATCATAGCAAACTAACAACCTAAATTAAATATAATAGCTAGGGTTTGATTTAATTGTGTTCCATAGCAAACATTAACTAAAATTTGCCACCGTCTCTCTCCCAAAAAATCTCGCTCGCCACTCTCCATTCTCTCTCGCCTTATAAACAGAAGTGTATAATTCTGTTTCTGTTTTGT